CGCATGCATATACATACACCAACTATCATTCACTAATCCTTTCCATGCCAGACATGGGCTTCATTTTAAAAAGCAAACAGAAGGGGAAACTGAGCTATAAGGGAAACAAGCAAACAAAAACACTGTGTTCAAACATATTCAAACACTCTACTCTTCAATAATGTGAAGGAAACACAGCACACGCTTGCCAAGAACATCTCTTTCTGCACAAATGTTCTCTTTCCCCCACAAGTTTGCTCCAGACAGAAAATTCCTTTTTAAGATTAAGTGCAAGCCAAGAAAAGCAACGAAATTCAAATTTAGGGCTGACACTGCAACCTCCTTCACCCCACCAAAGCTCCCTCACAAAGACTCAGAGGGTCTAGCTGCATGGCTCTCCGGAAGGGCAAGGGTGTGGTCTGAGCAGACCCCATGCACAGGGTCTGGGTGTGTCGCACTTGCGTCTGACATCTGAGAAAGAGCTTGTGCTCTGAGCCGCTCTGGCCCCCTCTGACAGCCATGTTGGGAGAGGCGGTATCACCCACGCAAACACCTGCCTTCCCGCCACCTGGGCATCAGTCATGAGGACTCTAGTCCCGCAGGGTGGGCACCCTGTGGAATCTCCTTGGTGAGGCACAGGGGAAGCGGGCGTTAGAGTGAATGGAGACACCAATGTGAAGGCTACTTGGATTTCTCAATTTGGAACCCATATTTGAGCCAAGATGCTTTAACTGAACACCCACCCACGGAGTTTTCACAGGCTGACAGCCAGAGGAGGACAATTAGCAGTGATAAGACGCGGGAGGGGAATAAGCACACATTTTCACTGAGTGCTGGCAGTTTTGAAGTATGAGTATCATACTTCAAAACTGCCAGCTTGCCAAGACCCCTAGCAACACGTCTTGCGTGGAAAGCAGAAAATTTGGGAAACGAAACTGCCCAGCAGTCCCGCAATTTTAACAGAAAATCATTTTGATTTTAACGGTACGCCTTATTCGCTAACTGTCTGAGGGAGCGCACGTTGGGAGCTGGGTTCTTACAGATCAGCTTGGGGAAGCCAGAACCCGCCGGGTTTGGCACCTAGAGGCAGCCTAGTTTTTCTTCTTCCAATTCGTTGTCTGATTACAATGATGCGGAGTGAGCACCCAAAGCCTTGCACGTGTGGGCCACAGAAGCATCGTAATCCAGCCCCCTTAAGCCAAGGACAGAAGAGCTGTGGTCTAGGTTTCAAGAAAACATACTTTCTCCCTTCATTAAACTGAATGTTCCCTTCAGCCATATCCACGATTTGAATAAAGCTTAAGGAGACAGAAAGAAACCCTTAACATCTGTGTGGGCTGGGAATGCAAGTCAGTGGGTGGATTCTGAACACTAAAGTGATTGCGGAGACAAAAAAAAAAAAAACATGTTTATTTGTTAAAATGGAAACAATCAGTAATGACAAGTGAGCTGAAATATTTAGACAAAGCTGTAATGGAACCCAGAGGACTTTTTCTGAAGTTCTCATGAGATGAAGTCCCTCCCTCTGAAACAGCATACGTATTTTTA